ATCCAGCACTACACCTAGATTTCGGGCCTGATCGACTGAAGCTGTGTGCTAACTTTAGATCTCTCCTCTACTGGTCCAAAAAATATTACTTCAGTTTTGTTTTTATTCAGTTGAAGAACATTATGGCACATCCAGGCATTGATTTCTTCTAAGCATTTCCTCAGTGCTTGAATTGGTTCATGTTCATGTTGGAGCATGTAGATATTGAATAGGAGGGGACCCAGGATGAACCCTTGGGGAACCCCACATGTGATTTTTGTCATCTCTGATGTAAAGTTGTCTACTGACACAAAAAAGTCCCTGTCCTTTCAGTAGGATTTAAACCAGTTGAGAGCTGAACCAGAGAGGCCGACCCAGTTTTCCAGGCGCTCTAACAGGATGGAGTGATCGACAGTATCGAATGCTGCACTGAGGTCCAATAGTACCAGCACTGTGGTTCTTCCACAGTCTGTATTTATACGGATGTTATTAAACACCTTGATAAGGTCGGTCTCTGTACTGTGGTGAGCACGGAAACCTGACTGGAACACGTCAAAGCGGCTGGTCATATCTAAGAAAGTGTTTAATTGTTGAAACGCTGCTTTTTCAATAATCTTACTGATACAGGGGAGGTTTGATATGGGCCTGTAGTTCTGGAGTAGTAGTTTGTCTAAGCTGTTCTTTTTCAGCAGTGGTTTGATATTTGCTGTTTTTAGGGACTGCGGGAAAACACCTGACAGAAGGGACGTGTTTATTATCTGAGTCAAATCAGACGCTATGACAGGCACTGGTAGCTGGCTTGAGTAATTCTTGCGATTTTGATTATTGTTCTGTCTTGAGGATCCAGAGTTTCTGTTTTGCCCTGTCTGCTTTTGGACTGTTTCCTGGATTCTGCTGGCTCACCGAACCTGGACTGTTTTTATGACCCTGACCTGGATTCCCCTTCTGCACTTCAGTGGCTCTCTAATCTTCTGCTTTATGAACTTGGTTCTGTTACGACTACGGCTCGGATATCCCCTTCTGGACACTGTCGCTGCTCGGCGTTGTCTGACATCAGCTCCGCTCAGGGAGGCGGCGCAGGCTGCAAGTGTTGGACAGTCTCCTCCTCGGATTCATCACATCCCTCTGTGATCGGACTGAACTCTGAACCAGGTCAATGACTATTGCTATTAATCATTATCAGCCCTTATTCTTAGTCACTGACCTGATTTTCTGTTTCTACAGAGGAACCGGTTTAGCCACTCAAGCTGACAAGCAGCTGCACGCCGTTTATAAAAAAAGACAGTTTGAACTCATTCGGATCTGTCTGCTTTGAATATTGGGTCCAAGGTTTTTTCGAGCTTGTTACATTACTGCTGTATAAGAAGGCCTTTGTAAAGCAAGAGCAGCATGTTTTTCCTTATTAATAGAGGAGAATAAGAATAATCCTAGATTTCTTTTTAATACAGTTGCCAAACTCACCCAGAGCCATAGCTCCGTTAAATCCCACATGGTTCTAACAGTAATGATTTCATTGGATTCATTATAAATAGGATTGATTTTATTAAAAATAAGACCATTAGCCCTCCTCTACCTATGAATGGGGTATCTCTGGAAGGTGAGGCAGCATCTGAGGTAGCCATATATTCTGAATCCAGTTCAGAAACTCAGAGTTAGCAAAACTACTTTCTTCTTCTAAGCCTTCAACTTGCATATTAAATCCAGTTCCAGCCAGGTTATTTAAGGAAGTATTCCCTTTGATCTCTTCCATTGTAGATATGATTAATCTATCCCTGTTACATATATTCTCATGGCCTCAGATAATGGACTTGTATCTGTGCTCGTCCTGTTGGATCTCAGTGCTGCATTTGATCCAGTTAATCATAATATTCTTTTAGAAAGACTTGAATATTCCATAGGAATTTAAGGAACAGTGCTAGACTTGTTTAAATCGTATCTATCTGACAGATTTTAGCAATTTCAAGTTGTTCACGTTAATGACAAATCTTCCTCATGCTCAAAGGTTACCTGTGGAGTACCACAGGGATCAGTGCTAGGACCAATTCTCTTTACTTTATACATGCTCCCAATCTGTAGAATTATTAGACAGCATGGGATTAATTTCCACTGTTATGCTGATGATACCCAGCTATATCTGTCTATAAATCCAGATGAAGCTAACCCATTACATAGATTACAGGCATGTCTGAAGACAGAAAAACCTGGATGACTCTTAACTTTCTGCTTCTGAATGCAGACAAAACAGAAGTTATAGTCTTTGGACCAGAGTCTCTGAAAAAGAAGCTGATTAGCCAGTCACTTCATTTGGATGGGATTAAACTGATTTCAGATAATAAAGTAAAACATCTTGGTGTTATTTTTGATCAGGACCTGTCATTTAAATCCCAGATCAAAGAGGTTTCTAGAATTTCCTTCTTTCATCTGAGGAATATTGCAAAAATTAGAAATCTCCTGTCCAGGGGTGATGCTGAGAAACTAGTCCATGCATTTGTTACTTCAAGGCTGGACTATTGTAATTCTTTACTATCAGGAAGTCCACAAACTGTAGTTAAAAGCCTTCAGCTGATCCAAAATGCTGCAGCCAGAGTTCTGATGAAAATGAAAAAGAGAGATCATATCTCTCCTATCCTGGCTTCTCTTCATTGGCTTCCTGTTAAATCCAGAATAGAATTTAAATTCCTCCTTCTCACATATAAAGCCTTAAATGGCCAAGCTCCATCTGATATCAGAGATCTGATTGTTCCTTATGTTCCTAACAGAGCACTTCGCTCTCAATCTGCAGGTTTACTAGTGGTTCCTAGAATTTCTAAAAGTAGAATGGGAGGCAGATCTTTTAGCTATCAGGCTCCTCTCCTGTGGAACCAACTACCAGTTTTAGTCCGTGAGGCAGACACCCTGTCTACTTTTAAGGCTAGGCTTAAAACTTTCCTTTTTGATAAAGCTTCTAGTTAGAGTGGCTCAGGTTATCCTGATCTATCTCTATAGTTCTGCTGCTATAGGCTTAGACTGCTGGAGGACATAGGGACCCCTTTTTCATCATTCTGCTTCATTCTATCGCTATTCTCCCACTCTGCAGAATCTGTTAGTTCAATCTCTAACGTTCTGCTCTCTCTGCTTTTTCTCATAGTAGCTTCATCTGGTCTGTTCCTGTTTGGCTGTGACTCCATCCTGGAGAGAAATATCAGCTGTGCTGCTGCCATCAACACCTTTGTTTCTAGATGTTGGAGCTTGGCCTGTTTTTCAGTGTAGTCCTGTTTCTCTGACTGTGACTAACTGGATGTGCTCTCTTCATCCCCTGACATGGGAGCTGGCTCGGAGCTCCCATGTCTGTGGAGCTGGTTGACAGTTGCCTTTTGTATCTATGCCTCTTTTTCTATTTATTCTTCTGTCTGCTTGAACCCCAGTGGGCCTCAGCAGATGGCCGCTCACACTGAGCCTGGTTCTACTGGAGGTTTCTTCCTTTTAGAAGGGAGTTTTCCTCTCCACTGTCGCTACAAGCATGCTTAGTGTGAGGGATTGCTGAAGAGTCAAAAATTGGTTTTCCTTAGATAGAAAATTTTTAATCAATTTGACTGTATGAGCTGGTTGAATGTCTCTGTAAAGTGCCTTGAGATGACATGTGTTGTAAATTTGTTCTGTATAAATAAATCTGGGTGTTTTTTTAATCACAGATAAATCAGACATAGTGACAATTGTGATAGTGGTTCCACTGAAAGAACACTATTCTTTCTCTTACCTTCACTATGGGACCAGAAGGTTGTATTTAGAAATGACAACTGTATAGCTATTCTTCATTTATTCAGATGAACATTTTCAGACAGAGCAAATTCTGAAATCCTCAAGGTTTAATGGCTTAAGAACCATAAACATAATTTCTGATCGTATAACTTTGATACACTGTTAGGGATTGCTGTAGAGCCAACAACACAGTGCCAGCAAATATAAACTACATACTGCCACATACTCATGCTCATCTAATAGGACTGTGACCTGTAAAGTCAAAGACTTAATGCCATCAGCTGCTTTTCCCTAGATAGGAAACATTTTACCAATTTGAATGTATGATTTGCCGTGAGATGATGAGTTATGCATTGGTGCTACATAAATAAACCGAATTGCAACTTATTGTTGAGTAACTTACCAAAAAAGGGAACTTCAGCACCTATTTCAGGGGAAGGAGAACTCCCTGTGGTCTCCATACCCCTTTCAAAATCTGTCAAAGCATCAATAAATATGGAAAGACAGCATTAAAATCCATAATTCTAGTGAAGATAAACTGACAGTAAATTAAATAATATAAAAACATTTTCAGACTGCTGAGATGATGGACTAGTTGGGTAATAAAATATATATTTTATATATCTGTAAAGAGCGTTGAGATGATGTTTTGTGGACTGGCGCTATACAACTAAACTGAATTGTAACTTAATGTTAAGGAACTTACCATCAGTGGGATTTCCTTTGTTATAACAAAACTCTACGGTTATGACTTCCTTAGGCACTATGGAAGCTGTCAAGATATCAATGAAAATAGAAATATGGCATCAAAATCTATCATCGAAAATGAATTAAATTATATGAAAACTACAGGTTCAATACATTCTTATGTGACTGCACTGAGCAGAACCAAACGTAAATCCTACAAACAAAAAAGTTTAGAGGTTTTATTGCTGACAAAGCACCTCAAATGTTTTTAATTTGACCAGTAAAAGCTTTAAAACTAGAGGAGAAAACTAACACTGTCATGATCTTAGCACAGATGTCTGGTTTGATTACTTATTTCTGTCAGGAAACGGTGTTGGTTTGGAAGACCCAAATGCAGAGGCCAGTAGGCAGAGGTGAATTTAAATGGGTTTATTAAGGTTCACAGGAACTGAGGCAGGAATCAAAATCCAACAGAAAATAACAAACGCACCAGAACCAAGGAGACATCAGGGGTAAACCAAAAATCTAGGAGCCAGGAAGAGACGAGGAAAGCAGACAGATGTTAGACGAGGATCCAGCAAACAGGAACTGAAGAGGGAGGGCTTTTAAAGGGGACAGAGACAAAGAGAGGGCTAACGAGGGGATTGGAAACAGGTGAGGGCAGAGCAGAAAACAGAGCTAGGGAAAGAGGACACAAGAGGGCAGCAGAGGACAACAAATGGAAAACCAAGAAAAACAGAAACTAACAAACCAAGACTCTGACAATTTCAGTCCCCTGCTTATCTCAGCCCAGTTTTTCATTACTGCTCATCTGTTCCATCGGCTTCAGTATCTATTTAACCAGCCTTAAGACCAGTAATCTGTACCTGATTATTTTTGAGCCATTGGTGAGAAGTATTCAAGCATTCCTATATTTTCTATTAACTCTGGACTCTGGAGCTCTGAGTCTGCCTCTCCACTTTCTGATCTATTTGCCTGACCTGTCTTCGGACTCCTGCCGGCTCTCTGTCTGCCTGTGTGCCGAACCTGGAACTGTTTCCAGACTCCATTCTGTATTTCTCCTCTGCACCTCTTTGTATCTCTGATCTCCTGGCTCTGACTACCAAGCAAGTCCTCTACACCGCATTTGGCTTCGCCCGCTGGCTTATCCGGCCTTCCTGTGTCTGCTCGGTTCTGATCTCCTGCATGTCCTCTGACCTCTGGAACTTCAGCGTCTAGGACTCGCTGGGTGGCACCTGCTGCGTCTTGTTGGCAGCCAACCAGCTGGAACCAACCTCACCCTCTGGACACGGACTGAAATTTAAGACCAGGTAACTCACACGTTCGTTATCATCCACCTCCAGAAAAACGTGGTCACTAACCGGTTGTCTCCTCCCACAGAGGTTCCTGCCTTAGACGGTGACACTGTTCACTGCACTTCCATTTTCAATAAAAATTTTGAGAAATCTTACTGTTTGTCTGCCTCAAATACTGGATCATATTGTTCTGAGCTTGACACGGACAAAGAAATGTTAATGGTTGTAACCTACCCAATATTACCTCCTCTGGATTGATCTCTAAACAGAAAAAGACAAAACCTCATGAACCAATGATGATAATGCAAGGTGATATGTAATTATATATATATTTTAAGATGATAGATGTAATGTTTGGTTTTTACTCAGGTAACCATCCTCCACGGTTATCTCTTGCAGAGCAAAGGCAAAGACTGTATTTTTCGGCACGGTAAAGGTTGTCGCCTCATTCTGATGAGAGAAGAAGACAAAGAAACAGACCAACTCACATCCTCCATCAGAGAAAATACATGCTTAGTCCTCCAAGTCTGACATTGTACAGGTACATTTATCACAGGCCCTACTTGACTCTGCTCTCATTCATCAGAGTGAACATCATGACTATTTTATGAAAGGGAAGCAGCTTTCCCCTCAAATGTTCCTCGCAGCTAAATGACATATTGGCTTCTTTAAGCAATGTGTTCATTCTACCAGAACCAGTGAACACTACTGTGAGGTCAATAGAAGGACCAAATGGTGTTTTCAGATAACAGAAAAGCTTCAAGAAATCAGCTGATCTACAAATGGAAACCTTACCTTTGAACCTGATAGGTCGCTGAAGAACTTGTTCAACTTTGCTCCAAGGGACGCACATCCAGAAATGTTGCTCTTCAATACAACACTATTGGTGTTGTAAACTCTCTTCTTCACAAAAGCCAGTTTGTCTCCCTCCTCCAGTTTAAACTTCCCCTCAACGTTTGGCTTTAATTTGCTGCAAACAGAGAACATATGATGGTGAGAAACTTCTACGTCCAGAAAGTTTACCCCACCCCCTGGATATTCTGCCTTCACTCATGAAATGCTATTCTTTAGCCACCAACATGATGAGATCACCTACATGCCGTCTCCAATGGAGATATCTGACATGTTCTCTTCTTTGATGCTCTCAGTCCACAGGGTGGCAGAAGATACCGACTTCCCTGAGGATGCTTCCCCTTTACATTTAACTGCAGCTCCTCCAGGAATTATGCCCTCTGCATCTCCTCCTGCTTCTATGCTGAATTTGTTAGAGCAGCTGTTTGTAAAATCTTCCACCAGGGGCTTATGTTCAGTTACTAGAAGGACAAAAAGACCTTTAGATATTTTTGTCTGAAGGTTTGTACTTTTCTGATATACAAATATTAAATAATAAAATAGATTTTATCAATAGTTAAATGGAAATTCAACATTTTAATGTTTTCAAAGTGATTCTGTGATCAGCTCAATCTGAAAAAGTGTGTGAGAGTTACAAACCGAAGTTGATCTCTTCTTCAACAATCTTACTCAGTGTTGCATTGAGACATGTATATTTAGGTCTCTGCTTAAAGTATTTGCAGAAACTCCTCTTTTTAATCTTGACCAGAGTCCCAATCTTCCATTTGTTTTCTATATTGTCGTTACTGATGAGACCTTTTTTATGACTCAGGTTTTTAATCACCACCTCCGTCACACTTGAGAATATATCCTGTGAGGAAGAAACAGAAACACTCATTTCTATAATCTTACAAACGGGTGAAAGTAATTAAACCTGTAATGTTTTGATAACACATCAATGCATTAGCAAGATCTGTTGCTCTTTAAAAACAGTTTATTCAGGTCTAACAATACCAAGGCATTTCCAAAATAAATAGATAAATAAAATGAAATCAACACTTTTATCCTTTCATTAACAAACCACTCCCAGAAACTGTGCCACCATTCCTTCTAGCCAAAAGAACAAAACTTCAGAGAATAATTATAACAAAAAGTTTTATTTTTGTAGTCCAGAGGAACATACACTCAAGTGCAAATATTAACTTTAGATAGTAATATACTTTTGAGTTTATAGACTATTTCTAATTGACACAGTCTAAAACCAATATCAAACTTCCATCTTTACAACACCTTAAACCCTTTGAAAATGTAAACTTTGCAACCAATGCTTCTAATTTTTTTTTTTTTTGCAGCAACAAAAACAGCACTAATGTACAACTAATATTAAATTCCATTTCTTCCTCTCGCCTTTCGAGCTTCAACTATATTTTGACCAGGGTATGAACTGAGATTTTAAATGTTTGTGACATAAATTGTCATGATCTCATGGGCCTTTGGGACTGTGGTCTTCCTGTTCTGAAGAAATTCTGACTAGTTAAAGGTATAGTGGAGGATGTTCATTTTCTGGGTGAATCATTAAAATAAGTGGTCCTCCTAATTGTCAATCATTCTGGTGATATTTTTACATAAGGCCATAATAATTAACATCATCTCAAATGAAAATGTCAGAATTGCAGTACTGTTAAAGTAGAAAAGGTCCGGTTTATAATTTTCATTTGCAAAACCAGTACATGTTGGGGTAAGACAAAATCTTGTTGATATAATAAAAAACTGATATCAAAATAGCTTTAAATCAAAGGGATGTCATGTTTTAAATGTGATCTTTATGTAAAAGTGATCATTTATCAAACATTCAACATCCTTAAACAATTGTCCTTAAAGTAGCTGAAAATAACAGAGGTTATTTCTTATAAGCAAAATAAATGTATAGTTAATGAAGCTAAGGGAAATCTGTCATCTCTCAACTTCAGGGAGTTATCTTACCTTGGTCATGTTTTCTGCCGTCAGTGAAGCTGCTGCTGTTGGTGCTGACGATGGTCTGAGCTACAGATCTGCCTTCGGAGCCGTCTTATATCTCCAACAAAGATGTTCAGAATTCACAGAAAAACCTGCTGCCACAGGTTCCAGCATGACATTTGTTACTTCGCTGGAACTCATTAAGCAGTACAACATTTGCATAAATCATACTTCATTTCCCACAATAGTTTGACAACTCTACTAAGAAACTGGTTAGGTTGAAAACATTCAAGACAAATGTACTTATAGAATATATTTTAATGTTCAATAACAAAATGTTTAAAACAAAAGTGGTTCCCTACAGATTTATAAAAAAATAATAACTATGTAGTTTTACAGCTTTTACTTTTTTATTTATTTTGGCGAAAACTGTTTAATCAAGATGTCTATGGAGTTTGATTTTAATCATGCAATTCACAACCTCCTAAATGTAAGACCAGTGATCAGCTAATGATCGTATTGAAAATTAATTTAGATTATGTTGTTATACAAGGTTGTTATGAACTCAAATGCTTTTATCAATAACAATCAAATAATCCCAACCTGCGGTTAAATAAAGAGAAGTCTTTCATTGCGAGACCAAGCAAGCCGGCTGCTCCGTGCTCAGAGGAAAATAGGTACTTGGCTCCATACTTGTGGTGAATATTGGAAGTTCAGTTTAATATAATCCAAGTATGTGAATAGTTCCATCTGAAATTAATGGCAATAGTTATTTTAATGGTTATTGAGTCAAATATGTGAGTCAAAGCAACAGGTGGCTCGGCTGGTCGCTGGGGCGTGGGAAGAGGTCGGAGAGGCCATGGAGAAAGACTTCCGTACGGCTTCGAAGCGATTCTGGTCCACAATCCGGCGTCTCAGGAGGGGAAAGCAGTGCAGTACCAACACTATTTATAGTGGGGGGGGGGGTGTGCTACTGACCTCGACTTGGGACGTTGTATGTCGGTGGGCGGAGTACTTCGAAGACCTCCTTAATCCCACCAACACGTCTTACATTGAGGAAGCAAAACACCTTTGGACCAGTCTGGAGTAGAGTCTATCCATGGGGGTTAGAGTTCAATAAAGAGACAGCTCTGGGGATAAAGTTGTTCTTTAGTCTGCTGGTTCTGGTCCGGAAGCACCTGAAATGCCTGGCAGAGGGCAGGAGAGAAAGCAGTATGTGGGCTGGTGGGGATGAGTCCTTCGTTTCTCCTGGATGTGCTCAATGGTGGGTAGTGAAGTTCCAGTGATGCGCTGGGCGGCTTTCACCACCCGCTGCAGTGCCTTGCACTCTGCAACAGAACAGCTTCCGTACGACACTGATACTCAGTTGGTTAGGATGCTTTCTATTGCACAGCGATAGAAGATCACCAGGATAGTTGAGGGGAGCTGATTCTTCCTCTGTGTCCTCAGGAAGAAGAGGCGATGGTGAGCCTTCTTGACCAGGCAGGAGGTGTTGGTTGACCAGGACATGTCCGCTGAGATGTGGGTCCCCAAAAACTTGAAACTGGAGACACGTTCAACAGCTATTCCATTGATGTGGATGGTGTTGTTGGTGCCTGTTGAATCTTTCCTGAAGTCTATGATGAGGTCCTTCGTTTTGGTGGTGTTGAGGAGCTGGTTATTTTCAGTGCACCATGTGGCCAAGTGCTCGATCTCCTCCCTATAAGCAGACTCATCGCTGTTGCTGATGAGACGAATCACCGTGGTGTTGTCTGCAAACTTGATGATGGAATTAGACGCATTCACAGGCTTGCAGTCGTGGGTGAAGAGGGAGTAGAGAAACAGGCTTACAGTAGCACACAGCCCTGTGGTACACCAGTGTTGAGTGTGATGGACGTGGAGCAGTTGGAGCCTGATTGGACATTCTGGGGTCTGTTGGTCAGAAAGTCCAGAATCCAGTTGCACATGCAGGTGTTGATGCCCAGGTCTCGAAGTTTGGCTAATAACTTAGCCGGAATGACAGTGTTGAATGCTGAGCTAAAGTCAACAAACAGCATGTGTGCATAAGTGTTCTTATTGTCCAGATGTGTGAACACAGAGTGCAGTGCCATGGAAACTGCGTCCCCTGTGCTCCTATTGCTGCGGTATGCAAACTGGTGTGAGTCCAATGTGGATGGTACCAAGTCTTTCAGGTGTGCCAGGACCAGTCTCTCAAAGCACTTCATTATGATTGGTGTGTGTGCTACAGGGCGGTAGTCGTTGGGCTGGAGTGTTTTGGCACTGGCACAATGGAAGTACATTTGAAGTATGTTTGTACAGCTGCCACGTCCAGGGATGTTATCTGGTCCAGCTGCCTTGAGTGTGCTGATCCTGCTCAGTGCATTGCAGACATCTGTGGAGGAGAGTGTGATTGGTGGGTGGTCGGCTGAGGATTTCAGCTTGGTGGCAGTTTCCCTGTTGTCTCTTTCAAAGCGAGCATAAAAGTCATTCAGCTTGTTCAGGAAATTGACATCAGTGGCTGCAGAGGTGAAATGAGTGGGTGTCGATGATGGCCCTAATTCCATGCCACATGCGTCGGGGTCAGCGTTGCAAAAGTGTCCCCCTGTCTTTAGCTTGTAGCAGTACTTGGCCTCTTTGATGCCCCTTTTCAGATTTGCTCTGGCTGTGCTATTGGCGTGTGCATCTTCTGATCTGAAGGCAGTGTTGCGTGTCTTCAATAGGAGTCGCACCTTCCTGTTCATCCATGGCTTCTGATTTGGGTATGTGGTGATCTGCTTCTGGGTTGTAACATTGTCAGTAGTGGTATTGATATAATCCAGTACAGAGGAGGTGTAACAGTCAATGTCTGTGTGAGAGACATTGGTGGCTTCAGAAGCAAACATACTCCAGTCTGTGTGTAGAAACCTTTCCTGAAGTGTTGAATCCGCTCCCGCAGGCCACACCTTGATGGTCTTCATTGATGGCTTCGCATGATTGATGAGGGGTGCATATTTGGGGGTTAGGAACAAAGAAAGGTGATCTGACTGTCCCAGGTGGGGGAAGGGTGTTGCAATGTAGCCTCCACGTTTGTGTAAACATGGTCTAAAGTTTTGTTTCCTCTGGTGTGGCAGAGAACATGCTGGTGAAATTTTGGTAGTACTGACTTTAAATTTTAATGATTAAAGTCACCTGCGACAATAAACGCAGCTTCTGGGTGAATGGTCTGTTGTTTATTGATTGCTGCGTGAAGTTCTTTCATAGCAGACTTAGCATCAGCGTCTGGGGGAATGTAGGCTACAGTGATAATGGTGGAACTGAACTCCTGTGGCAGATAGAACGGTCTACATTTAGCTATCAGAAACTCCGGGTTAGCTAAGCAATGTCTCCCAACAATAGCAGTTTGTGCACCAAGCTTTGTTAATGTAAACGCACAGTCCCCCACCTCTGGTCTTACTGGAGCCATCTGATGTTCTATCCGCCCGGAATGTATGGCACTGTTTAACCATGTTTCCGTGAAGATTAGGACATTACAGTTCAAAAATCTCTTGCTGTATGTAATGTTGAGTCGAATCTCCTCCATTTTGTTCAGCAGCGACTGCACATTGGCAGTAAAAATGCTGGGTAAAGAGAGCCGGTGTGGTGTTAGCTTTAGCTTAGCTCTTAGTCCTCCGCGCTTCCCCCGCCTTTGTTTACTATCTTGGCATCGCCTAGGAGCACTTCCGCCCGACCGAGCGGAGTGAGACGCCTCGGATGTTCTGGCTATCTCAGGAAGGAGTCGAAGGTTGTCCACAAGACTGTCAGAAATTCGTAAACCAATATCCAATAGCTCATAGCGGGTGTACGATGTAAGGGCACAACTGTTCTGCACGAACAAACCCGAAATGAGCAAGAAAATCGCCGCAAAATTGCAGAATCTGGAGAGACCGCGATCCTCGTGACGCACTCGTGCCGCCATCTTGGTCGACTCTGATATCTGGAGTGTGGGGACAATAAATCTGATAGGAGAACTGAATTTGT